GAGAGAGAGAGAGAGAGAGAGAGAGAGAGAGAGAGAGAGAGAGGTGTGTGTGTGTGGCCAGCCCAGCCCACCAGGGGGCGGGGCTGGCTGGCATGTGGCGCTGGGGGATTGAACCGCGGCCCCTGATGCCTTAGCCAAGCTTGTTCCAAGTAGGTGCTTTAGACCACTGAGCCATCTCTCCAGCCCCAGGGGGAGGGTCTTATTGATTTGCTCAAGCCAATCCTCTCACCTCAGGGCCTCTCTTCCCAGTAGCCAGGATTCTGAGCAGGTACCACCTACTGGCTAAGGTTCCAGTTTGTGGAAAAAGCAAATAAATACTTTCTTTAAAAAGAAGAAGAGCCACCCAGTACCAGAGAGAGAGAGAGAGAGAGAGAGAGAGAGAGAGAGAGAGAGAGACAGAGACACAGACAGAGAGACAGACAGAGAGAGAGACAGACAGAGACAGACAGAGAGCGAGACAGAGAGACAGAGAGAGAAAAGAAGAGCCAGGCATGGTGGTACATGCATGCAATCCCAGCACCCTGGGAGGCTGAGGCAGGAGGATGGCTAGTTTAAGCCTAATCTGGGCAATTTAGCAATATAGTGAAATCCTGTCTCAAATAAAAAGAGCCGTGGTGCTTTGGGGCCAGGGAGATGGCTCAGTGGAATAAGCGCTTCCCTGGCAAGTGCAAGGGCCTGAGTTCAATCCCCAGTTCCCAAAAAAAGAGCCATGGATGCAGCTCAGGGTGAAGATCCTGGGCTCAGGCCCTACCACCAAAAAATGAAACCCTCTCCCCACCAAAAAGCAACAACAGAACAAAGGAACCTCCCAACAAACAAAAACAAGGCAAAACCAAATAGGTTTCCTGCCCCTAAAGCAGCCAGGACATCCGCAGGAGACATCCTTCTGGAGGGTTTATACACACACCACCTATAAATGTGTTTCTTTCAGCTTATGGGAATATAGGTGCTTTGCTTTATTTTTTCAGGAATAAATCTTATACATCTTGTCATACCAGTATTGACAGATTGGTTGGCTTTTTTTTACTTTAGGGGCTACTGGCTGTCATTTGCAGGTACCATGATTTCTTTAACTGTGGTTGTGAAGAACATCCTTGTTTATATGAGCACATGCTCACATATGAGCCTGTCTGTAGGAGAAATCCCTAGAAGTGAGATGCTGGGTTACGGAGCTGCCACGCTACACTCCTTGACAGAGGTGCCGATGGTGGAGCATATCTGTGATCTCGGTCACTTTGGAGGCAGAGGCAGGAGGATTGCAAGTTGAAGGATAGCCTGGGGAACTTAGCGAGACCTTGTTTCAGAAGAAAAAAAGGGGGTTGGGGTGTAGCTGAGTGACAGAGCACTTGCCTTGCATGTAAAAGGCCCTATGTTCAATCCCCAGCACTAAACAAATCCCCCAAAAGTAGAACCAATTTGTATACCCATGAATAGTATCAGTCATGTTAAAATAACATGAAACATGTAACTAATATATAAATAAAATTACTTGTGATATTTATATTGCATATAATAGATCTTTCTTTTTTGAAGATTTTTTTTTTTTTCTTTTCATTTCTTTCCTTTTTTTGTTTTTTTGAGGAGGGTCTCACTAGACAGTCAAGGCTGGCCTTGAACTCATTAAGTAGCAGGGGCTGGCCTTGAGCTCATGGTGATCTTCCTGCCTCAGCTTCCAGAGTGTTGGGATTAGAGGCGTGCACCACCATGCCCGGCATGATAGGCATTTCTTCATTCTTACTCCATGTTTATTGCCCCTTACTCCAGTTATTGAAGTTTGCTTTGTTTGAAGACAGACTCTTGGGTATATAGTTTAGGCTGGCCCTGAACTCATTCTGTACCCCAGGCTGACCTCAAACTCATGGCAACCTTCCTTCCTCAGCCTCCTGAGTGGTGGGATTAGAGGAGTGAGCCACTACACCCCACTTGGAGGGTTCACTTTTAGTTTTTTCTTTGTTTTGTATTTTAGGGAAGGGTCTACAGGGTGTTCAGGTTCTCACTACTAGATTGGACTCATAGTGATCCGCCTGTTTACAGCCTCCCGAGAGCTGGGATTACAGGCTTGCACCACCATGCCCAGACTCAATCACCTCAGTGTGCCCCAGGGGTGAGGCCAGCACGGCAGGCCTGAGATTGAACCTCGGCCACAGCACTCTGCCTAAGAAGGCACTTTAGTCTGCTGAGTTATCTGCCCGGCCCTTAATAATGTAAACTTTTAAATGAAGTCTAACAGAAAAAGTGCACAAACATTAATTGTACAGGTCAATGAGTTTCATGAACCGAGCACACCCAATATAACTACCAATCTGATAAGAAACAGATAATCAGCTCTCCGCAGCCCCATCTCTCCTCAGGAGGAATAATCAATAATCCTAACTTCTGTCATCATAGGCTAATTATGGCTGTCTTTGAAGTTTATACAAATTGAATTATATAATACAGTGGCTTCTTTCACTCCATATTATGTTTGTGGATTCATTCATGTGGCTCCTTGTCATTATAGATTGGCCATTCTCATTGCTGTGTGTGAATATTCCATTGTATGGATACAATCTATTAGTTTTTCTTCTTCGATGGACATTTGGATTGCTTCTGATTTGTTGCTATTGTGAACAGGGCTGCTATGAACATTTCGGTACATGGTTTTTGCTAAAGGTGTGTATATGCTTCTTTTGCTATGGGATTGCTAAGTCAAAGAGCAGACAGTAGTTTGGTTTTGTAGACACTATCAAACAGTTATCAGTTCCAATCAGCAGGATTGGAAGCTTCCAGATGCTCCTGGAGTTGTACCAACACCTAGAAACATCAGTCTTTTTCATTTTAACCAGGATGGATGTGTGTTGGTATTGCATGGTGGGTTTCACTTCCATTTCTTTTATTTTTATTTTGTTTCTGCAGTACTGAGGATTGAACCCGGGGCCTTTGCACTGAGCCACATTCTCAGCCTTTTTTGTTTTTTATTTTGAGACAGAGTCTAAGTTAATAGACCCAGGCTGGGCTCCAACTTGTAATTCTCTTGCCTCAGCCTCCCAGAGTGCTGGGATTACAAGGGCAATCATACCAGGTTTGAGTCATTCCCTTAAGTATGGTGGGTGTCTTGTCATACGGTTGCTGGGGTCACAGGGGTGCGCTGCCACGCCTGAAATAGCACAGCCTGTGGTCCTGGGGATGGAATTCAGGTCCTTGAACTTGCTAGATAGGCACTTAGACTGCTGGATTCTCTCTCCAGGTCCCTCCCACTCATGTGTTTTGATGAGCAGAAGTTATTAAGTTTTACATTTATAGTTAGTGCTTTCTGTATCCAGAAATTTTTTTTGTAACCTGAAATCTTTGTCTCATCAAAGGTTGTGAACTTATTCTATACTTAGTTTTATTTTACTTTCCACTTTACAGCCACAGTCTAGCTGGATTTTTTTTTTTTTTTTTAAACAGTGTCTTGTTAGTTTAGGCTCGCCTTGAGCTCACTTTGTAGCCCAGGCTAGTTGCAAACTCATAGCAATCCTCCTACCTCAGCCTCCTGAATGCTAGGATTATAGGCGTGTACCACATCTGGCTCCTTCCTGGAATTTTTTCTTTTCTTTTCTTTTTTTTTTATTGTAGGATTTGAGACAGAAAATCAGTATTTTTTCCTTTACATTTTTTTTTAGTCTTTATTCTTCTCTCAGCTTATTGATGAAGACACCCAGTGCCCAGGATTCATTTTTCCCCCTACTGTGTAATTGGTCACCCAGCCTTACTTATTGAAAGAATATCGAGAAGGCAGTCCCGGGGGTCAGGGGCATGTGGCATTCCTGTTAGCTGGAGTGATGGCCCTCACCTCATCTAGGTGGTCTGAGGAGGAAGGGCTATTCCTGAGGAGACTCAGGGTGGTGTTTCTGGCAGCAGAAGGAAATAATACTGTGAAGTTAAAGGCATGTGAATGAATGAATGAATGAGTGAATGAATGAATGAGTGAATGAATGAATGAATGAACTGACTGACTGACTGACTGACTGAATGAATGAATGAATGAATGAATGAGTGAAGAATGAATGAACGTTTGACAGAACAGGGCTTTATCAAAGCAGCAGCAGCAGAAGTGATTAACATGTTCGAATCATCATCACCATCATCATTTTCTGTGGTTTTGGAGACTGAACTCAGGGTCTCATGCAGGCTAGGTAAGTGGTCTGCCACTAAACTACTTCCCCTGATCTTTTGGAAAGAAGTTTTAGATAGGGTATTACCCAGGGTAGGCTCAAAGTTATGACCCTCCTGCCTGCCTCAGCCTCCTAGAGTCCTAGGTTTATAGGCACACAGCTCTTTGTGTTTTTGAGATAGACTCTTGCCGCGTTGCTCAGGCTGGACTCAAACTTGTGATCCTCCTGTCTTAGCCTCCAGAGGACCTGGGATTACAGGTGTGTGCCAGCATGCCAAGACCACGTGCCTTAATTATATGAGAGGCAAGTGACAGAGTGTCTAAATGTAAGCTCAGGTTCAAGTCCTGGCTTTGCCACTTACCAATTATGTGAGCTGCAGGAAGTTTCCAGCCTTGTGACTCTTTGCCACATGCATGCAGTACAGACAACATGGCATCTGCTGTGGAGGGGTGTCTTGATAAAACTGATTGGCATACACAGAGCACAAGGTGCTATCATTATATGTGGTCTGTCAGATCTCTCCCTCCCATTCCCCATCAAATCCACAATAGCATAAGGTTTTCTGCTTTGTATGTTTGGTAATTAAAAAACTCAAACTTTTGGGCAGGGGAGATGGCTCAGTAGAATAAGCGCTTCCTTGGCAAGCACAAGGGCCTGAGTTCAATCCCTGGTTCTTAAAAAAAAACAAACAAAAACCTAAACCACAAAAACCAAAAAACCCTCAAACTTGTTTTGTTTTAGACAGGGTTTCACTAAGTGGTTCAGGCTGGCCATGGAGCCTAGGGTGGCCTTGAATTCCTGGTGATCCTCCTGCCTCAGCCTCTCAAATGCTAGGATTAGAAAAACTCAAACTTGATTTTAAAACACATGTAGATGTACAGAAATATTAGGAAGCTAGTACTGAGAATTTTCATATACACTTTCCCCTTTATTGACATTATCTTGCTATATTTGTTATAGATAATAAACCAGTATTGAAACATCATTAAGTAAGCCCAGCCTTCCTTCAGGTTCTGCACATTTTCTCTAATGTTCTTTTTGCATCTCAGGATCCCAGCCAGTGTGGATCCATTCTATTTAGTGCTGTCTCCTAGTGCTCTTTGGTTGGGACAATGTTTTAGGTTTTCCTCACATTTGATGGCCCTAGTGGGGTAAATTTTAAGCTGAAATGTTTTAGGTGTTGGGGTCAAGTCTTGTACCCCAGGTTCTGGTATGGCCCCTGCCAGCCTGGAGCCACACTGTGTGTACAGCTAGAAGGCAACATGAAAGCCGTGTGTGGTGGTGCATGCTTGTATTCCCAGCACTGGGAGAGAGAGGCTGGAGGACTGCAAGTTGGAGCACAGCCTGAGTGACTGTCACAGTAGGACCTGTCACATTAAAATAAAAAAAGATCTGGGGATGTGGCTCAGTATGAACATCCTGGGTTCAACCCCGTTCCCTCCACTCCTTCAAGATGGGCATCTGGGCCCGTGGGAGCAGGCGTGAGCAGGTATGCAAGCGCAGCTGCAGAGGATTCTGAATCTGGGCCATGTGGGCTTCTAGCAGCAGGCACCTAGGCCAACTCCCTGCCTTTCTGTGGCGTACTGGACCCTGAGACGCAGACAGCGAGGTCCCTTCTCCCCAGTGCTCATTAAAGTCCCTGAGCACTCAGCTTTCTCATTCTTTTTGCGGTCTGATCAGGGACAATCTGATGGACTAACTGGCAGTAAGGTGCAGCCAGCTGACGAGGGCTGGGTGGATCTCTTTCTGGCCAACACTTGCATCTCAAGCCTGATTTCCAAGTCTGGAGAGTTGATGATAGCCCTGAATCTACCCAGGAGACAAAGCTCCAAGTTTCTGCTCTACAGTGTGATCCTAGAAAACCATGCAACCTCCCTAGGCCTCACCTTCTTCACCTATAAAAGTCATAGTAAATGTGCCAAATCTGAGTAAATGATGTAACACTGGAGCCTTGTGTTGAGAAGGCTGGGGAGATCATATATATCTTGGCTCAGTAGAAAAGCATGCAGGAGTTGATTAGTCATGTCTGACTTGGGCACAGGTTAAGGAAGTAGTGGTGTGTGTGCTGTATGTTTGTCATTCCCAGATTAGATGATTTTTAAATTATAGTTGTAGGCTGGTTCAGCACCCTGGGAATGAGAGAGAATCAGGGGCCTGGTTGGGTAAGCTGGTATGGGAAGGTGGATTGGTCAGCACCCCACTTATGGTTCTCTGTGCCTACAGAGTTCACCCACGCAGGGCAGGGCGGGCTGATTGAAGAGCCCACTGGTGATGAGCTGCCTACCAAGAAGGGGCGGAGGAACCGTTTCAAGTGGGGTCCAGCCTCCCAGCAGATCCTGTTCCAGGCCTATGAGAGGCAGAAGAACCCTAGCAAGGAGGAGCGAGAGACCTTGGTGGAGGAGTGCAATCGGTAGCTGGCTGGCAGATGGTGGGATGGTTTGGGGCGACTTGGGCCCCAAGGGAGGCTCCCCGGTCCTTGAGAGTCCCTGCTGAGTCCGTTTAGTCTGGCCCAGAAAATTCAGCGGACTCAGTGTCTGTCTGCTCAGTATCTTGAGCTTAACTCCACCCCAGCATCCCCCACATACCTAAGCAACTGTTTTGGGGGCTGCTCATGTCACCTTATCCCCTCCACAACCCCATGGCTATCTTGCTCACATTATGACTAAAGTCAGACAGGCTAAGTCACTTGCCCAGGGTCACACAGCACAGTGGTGTTGAGCCCTAGATCTGCCAGCCCCAGAGAGTAGAGCTCACCTTCTTAGGACCCTCCCCCACCCCGCAGGGAGCACTCTTCTGAGCCTGGCCTGGAGGCTCATGGGTGGTCACCTCTGCAGGGCAGAATGCATCCAGAGAGGGGTGTCACCATCACAGGCGCAGGGACTGGGCTCCAACCTCGTCACCGAGGTGCGCGTCTACAACTGGTTTGCCAACCGGCGCAAGGAAGAAGCTTTTCGGCACAAGCTAGCCATGGACACGTACAGCGGACCCCCACCAGGGCCAGGCCCAGGGCCTGCGCTGCCAGCCCACAGCTCCCCTGGCCTGCCGCCACCAGCTCTCTCCCCCAGTAAGGTCCATGGTGAGTACTGTGTGGTGGCAGTGGCGGTGGCAGTGATGGTGGTGGTGGCAGTGGCAGAGGAAGGTGGGACCGCCAATAGAGGGGACAAACCCAGGAGGGAGATGGAAATGGAAATGGAGTAGGGGAGGCTGGCCCTGCAGTAGGAGCGTTTGGTTTGGTCCCATCTACTCCATTCACCATGCCCTTTCCTCAGCACCCTGCACCCCATGACACTAATTCCACGGTCCTTTGCTCTAACCACTGTCCCCATCTGCTGGTCCACAGCTCTACCCATCTGCTCCCATCCACCCCATCCCTCTACCCTCACCCCATCACAGTCTGTTCAGCACGCTGTCCAGCCGTTCCCCCCACCCCACTCCCTCCTCTCTCCTCCCAAGTAGCCCCGAACCCATCTGCACCACCCCATTCCCACCCAACTCCTCCTCACCCAGGTGGCATTGTTCCTCTGGCCCCACCCTCTGCACCCAGCTCCCTGCATACCAGCCCGACACTCCACCTGTGCACTGCCCGCGGCCGTGGCACACCTTCTCCCTCACATCTCATCAGCTCGGCCCCGCTTGATCTGGGTGACTAAATGTAACACACTCATTTCAGATCTGTCAGTTCAAGCCACTGTACTTCAACTCAACTCAATCCAGTTCAACGCCACTCAATTTCCACTGTGTTCAATGGATTATGATCCAATTTAGCTCCCTTACAGTTAGCACAGTTTAATGCAAACAGTTCCACTTAATTTAAGCACCAGTCAGTGAGATTCAGTTAATTTTGTATAGCTACTTTTTCGTATCTGTAGGGTATTTTTTCCAGGCCTCCCTGATGATACTCAAATCCAAAGATATTCAAGTTCCTTATATATTTTGGGGAGTAATATTTGCATTGAACTCACACTCATCCTCCCATGTAAAAGCTAATAATTATATCTGGTTGTTTAGGGAATAACAAGAAAAAAAAAACATGTGGGGCATATTTTCTCCCCAAATATTTCAATCTACAGTTGGCTGCATCCAAGGATATAGAAGCCATGGCTGCAGGGGGCCAACTCTGATGCTCAATCCAATGTACTCTGATTCTATTTGAGTTGATTCAGCTCTGCTCAACCAAACTGAAACTCAATTTATTTCCAGCTCAAGTCACCCAGATCTGGTCTAATTTAACCAATTCCAGTTCACTCCATTCAACTCAGTTTTTTTTTTTTTTTAAACTGGGGACTTTGGCTTCATTCCATGAGTAGCAATTCAGCTTCACTGCGTCATCTTGCATGGAGCACCTACTGCATGTTGGGTTGTGCTGGGAAGCGCGGGTTGGAGCTGGTGTGATGCAGTCTTTGCACTCAGGGAGCTGGAAGCAGCTGGTGCAGGGCAGGGCCTGAGGTGCTGTTTAGACAGTTCGGGGGTTGCATAAAAAAAGATGGGGCTGCAGGCCTGAGCAAACCAGTGCAGTCTGGAGTGTCAAGGTCTGTGGCAGTGCGCTCAGGAAGTGGGTGCTGAGGCTGGACGCTGCTCCCCACTGCAGGCGTGCGCTATGGACAGCCTGCGGCCAGTGAGGCGGCTGAGGTGCCCTCGAGCAGTGGTGGCCCCTTAGTGACAGTGTCTACACCCTTGCACCAAGTGTCTCCCACAGGCCTGGAGCCCAGCCACAGCCTGTTGAGCACTGAAGCCAAGCTGGTGAGTGTCCCCATCTGTGGTGGAAACCCTGCCAACCCCATTTTCCTTTGGCTGGGCATCCCCAGGAAGGCAGTGTGGGGAACCACCTTGATTCAGTTTGGCTTTCCCTTGCAGGTCTCAGCTACTGGGGGCCCTCTGCCCCCTGTCAGCACCCTGACAGCCCTTCACAGCTTGGAGCAGACATCCCCAGGCCTCAACCAGCAGCCCCAGAACCTCATCATGGCCTCGCTGCCTGGCGTCATGGCCATTGGGCCCGGTGAGCCTGCCTCTCTGGGCTCCACGTTCACCAACACAGGTGCCTCCACCCTGGTCATTGGTAAGCTGGTGGGGGTGGGTGGGCACCTGGGGATGGGCATCGGGGCTCCTGCAGAAGATGGGAGCTGGGAAGAACCCATGGGACTCACTCATGCAACAGCATTTTCTGGGTGCCTACTCCGGGCCAGGCAGCGCCCTGCAACAGTGCTACACGAGGGAACCAAAGAGGCCAACATTTCAGAGCCGAGTGGGAAAGCAGGCAGGGAGCACAATACAGAACTTGCACAGACCCAGAGAACATCAGAAACCCAAGGGGAATAATAGAACAGGGTAAGCGGGATGAAGGTTTTGTCCTTCTTTTTTTAAGCCCATCAAGGCTTAATTTGCAGGGACTACTATGCAAATATGTATCAATCAGTATTAGAAATAGGAGAGGAGAGCTAAATCCAGGACCTTTGTGCTGCTGTGGAACCCCATGTTCCAGGGAACCCAGATGGACAAGCTCTGATCTAACCACTACCTTCCTCTCCTACCCTCACACATAAGGAACTCAGGGCTCACACAGAGTGACTTGCCAGGGGCACTTAATTTGGAGGCTGATCCCAGTGAAGCCCCTTTGCACCAACCCCTCTTCCAAACCCTGGGCTCTGGGAAGGAGGGATGGCGCCCTCAGAGGCCAGAGGGACAGTGGGGTGGGGGAGACCTGGCTAACACACGTCTTTCCTGCCCCAGGCCTGGCCTCCACTCAGGCCCAGAGTGTGCCTGTCATCAACAGCATGGGCAGCAGCCTGACCACGCTGCAGCCAGTCCAGTTCTCCCAGCCGCTGCACCCCTCTTACCAGCAGCCTCTCATGCCACCTGTGCAGAGCCACGTAGCCCAGAGTCCCTTCATGGCCACCATGGCCCAGCTGCAGAGCCCCCATGGTGAGCACCCCTTCCCTGGGGCGGGGGCTGGCTGAAGGTGACACAGGGGAAGGAGGTGGCCCAGTAAGTGTGCATCTGCGTCTGGTACAGGCGCCAGTACTTCTGTGATGGGGGGCAGGAGGGGGTGTCTGCGGGTCACAGCACATTTCCAGGACACACGCTGTTGCATAGCTCTGTGCGCATGCGCATGCCAGCCGCCCACCTGTGTGTGTGTGTCCAGGGGCTCCCTGGCTGGCGCTCCCTGTTACGGGTGCACGTCCCTGTGTGGGGGCACCGGCCTCAGTCCTTTTCTGGAAGCCTCAGCTTGGTGGATATGCCAAGCGTCACATGCGACCCACACCAGGTCTGTGCAGCAGCCTGGTCTCCAAACACGACTGCTGCTGCGGTAGGGAGCGAGCTCCAAGGAGCGGACCAGACTCGCTGGATCTCACGCTCTGCTCGGTGGGGTTTGCCAGCAAACAAGCGCCGGGGCCAACCTTACAGAAATCTTTTCACTTCAGGCCTGTTTAGGGGTCTCTGTTTAGGAGTCAGTACAGGAGTCTCCTCCTCTCCCTCCCTCCAACAGCCCTTTTTGGAGTTTAGGATTGGGAAATAGTTGTGGACCTATAAGGATTTTTTTTTTTTTTTCTTTTCTTTTTTTGGCTGGCTCAGGATGCCTTCAGGGCAGATCTGGCAAGGTTTGAGGACTTGGGGATACAACCACAGCATCCTGAGCCTGGCTGCTTTGTTTAAGCAATCTCTTAAAGGCTGAGCTAATGGGCAGGCCCCTTGTGGAGATATGTCCCTGCGTGTGCACAGTTGGGCATGTGTGTATTCGCGTGTACATGTGGGTGTTATGTGTGTTTGTGTATGTGTGTGGTACTAGGGTATGAATCCAGGGCTTTCGCACTGAGTTACATCCTCAGCCTTTTTTTTTTTTTTTTGAGACAGAGTCTCACTTAAGTTGCTACATTGCCCAGGCTGGCCTCCAACATGTGGTCTCTGTGCTCCAGCCTCCTAGAGTGCGGGGCTTCTAGGCACGTACAGGTGCACTGTGCCTCTTGCTGAGTTCCTGTGAGAATACAGCGTGTGTGGGGTCTGTGCGCTTCTTGGGGCAGGGGAGCTACAGGTGAGACACTGGGTTGTGCACTGGGGAGGTGTTGTCCCTCTCCTTGGTTATTCCGGCAGGAATGACCTGCCCTTGCTTCTGAGGCACCCGCCTTAGTCCAGTAGCTCCTGCACGTAGTACTGCAGGCCTGTGCTTAGTCCAGTAGCCCGTGTGCTTGTGCTAGGTCAGCAGCACTGCACTTGTGCCTGCACTTCCCTCTCATGCCTGCTGTGACCAGGTGACAGCAGGAGTTGAGCTTGGTTCCTGCCCTTAGGCTGTCCTCCATCCTAGCTGAGCAGGCGCCTGTACTGAGATCTATTTCTTTGTCTGGAGCCCCGCACCCCAATTTAGACACATCAGCCATGGGTCCCCAGGGCACCAGTCTTGGCCTTCGGGGACATTTAGGTACTTGGGAAGGTACTTTGTAGACACAGTATAGGAGTCTCCTCCTCTCCCTCCCTCCAACAGCCCTCTACAGCCACAAGCCTGACATGGCCCAGTACACACACACAGGGCTGCTTCAGCAGACCATGCTGATCACGGACACCACCAACCTGAGCGCCCTCACCAGCCTCACACCCACCAAGCAGGTAAGGCCCGGGCCTGCCTGGCCTCCTAGTCCTCTGAGCCTTCCACTTCTTGCCCCAGGAGCTCAGAGGGCTGTTCTGGTCTCCCAGGTCTTCACCTCAGATACTGAGGCTTCCAGTGAGCCGGGGCTTCAGGCGCCAGCATCTCCGGCCACCGCCGTCCACATTCCTAGCCAGGACCCTGCCAGCATCCAGCACCTGCAGCCTGCCCACCGGCTCAGCAGCAGCCCCACTGGTGAGCACGCTCTGGGATGTCACCTTGTCCAGGCGTAGGCGCAGCAGACCGAGGGGAAGTAGGGAGGCACTTCCAGCTTAAACACAGCCCAGGGAAGCGCAGTAAGCATGTGTAGCTGCAGAAGGATGGGCCTGGACTCACAGGAAGAGCTTGGGGCTGGACAGAGAAGGGGGTTAGGGGTTAGGTAACTAAAGAAGCAGCAGAGGGGAACAACAAGCAGTAAACAGGGCTGGAGGTGACTCACAGGTGCTTGGTTTGGCCCTGCTCAAGGTGTAAGAGTCTTTACATTAGTGGACAACATTTAAAAACTAGTTTTCACACATATACACATACACACGCACGTGCACACACACACACACACCTTCTCTGGGGAAACGAAATTGGGCCCATTATTCCATTCCACCCACTTCTATCTTTACCCCAGCAACCCTGGAGGCCCCCACTTTGCAACTACAAGGCCAGGCCAAGAGTGGGCCCCCTGGGGTCAGGCTGTTAACTCTGACTTCTGCCAAGTTACTGCCCCTCAGCCTCCCACTGTCCACCTGACCGCTCTGGGGTCAGTTACTGAGGGCACTCCTTAGCCAGCTGTGTGCTTTACTGAGGCCTCTGCATTATTGTCCCCATTTTACAGATGAGAAAGTGGACACTCATGGAGGTGGTGGGCGTGTCCCATCTCCCACAGCTACTGGGTGGCAGGCCTTGAACCCAGGTCCGACCACAGAGCCTGCTCATTCTCTTAACCTCTTCCATCAGTCAGACACAAAGCCAACAGGCCGCTGCAGGGAGATCACTTACAGAACTTGCTCTCGGTGGTGGGGACTGGCAGCTGTCATCTGCAGGCGGAGCCTTGGACAGGAGTCTCAAGGCTGCAGACTTATTCTCTCTGGGAAACTTCAGTTTCTGCTCTTAAGGCTTTTGACTGATGAGACCCACCCACATTATCGCGGGTCACCTGCTAAGTCAGTTGCCTGTCAGCTGTTAAGTATGTCTACAACGTACCTTCCCAGCAACACCTAGATGAGTGATCCATTCTAGCTAACACACAACTTAACATCACACCGCATGGCCAGGACTTCTCCAGTGTCCTCACTACAAGACTGTGAAGTCACTCGCTTGTCAGGAACTGAGTGCAGAGCTCGCCTTTGGGGATGTGTAGCATGGTAGGCTTTAGGAGGGGAGGCCATGCTTCTCGTTTCCTAAGCACCCCTACAGTCAGGTAACTGGGGTGAGGTTGGGGTCTTGGACAGCCCCCAGCAGCCTCATTTGCCTTTGCAGTGTCCTCCAGCAGCCTGGTGCTGTACCAGAGCTCTGACTCCACCAACGGCCACAGCCACCTGCTGCCATCCAACCACAGTGTCATTGAGACCTTCATCTCCACTCAGATGGCTTCTTCCTCCCAGTAACTATGGCAACTACCTCCCAGGTGCTGGAGCCTGCACTGCCAGCTTGGGGAGTGAGGACAGCAGCCACCATAGATGCCTTGGGTACACAGGCCTCGCAAGCTTCTGCTGCCCTCCCTGGAAGCCTGTGCCTTGGTCCTCACCTCGTTCTGCCAACATCACAATGGGACAGATCAGAGGTGTCCCAACCTGAGGGCAGTGAGTTGCACAAGAGGGGTTCATGGAGAGCTGGGCAGCAGAGCTTGTTTCTGGCAGGACTCTGCAGGGACTATTCCATTGCTTGGGATAAAAGATTTGTTACTTGGAAGCAGAGCAGGCAGCTCTGGACTCTGGTAGCACCAGTGTGAACTTGCGGGAAGCCCTGGGGCTAAACAAGAATGAACCCTGGTGGTCAGACCAAGAGGCCCTGGCTCCACGTGGTCATGTTGTCATGATGCACCCACCAGGCCACTCCACCCTGCCTAGCACCTGCCAGCCACAGAGCCCATGCCCTTTGTTGCCCTTCCTCAGTGGCTGCTCTGTGCCAGGGCTGGGAGCGCCGATGCCCTTGGTGAGGGCGCTTAAGCTAATGAGGCCGACAAGCAGGGCTTTCCCAGCCTCCTTCTTTCTGAGCCATCCCTCCTCAGACCGTAGGGCCATTTTCATGAACATTTGTTCCCCTGCCCATCACGCCTTCTGATGCCAGCCTGGTATTGTGTCTCCACTAGTAAGACCACTTCAGGGCTAAGAAGCTGTCCTTGCTCTTGTGGGTTCCCTATGACTCGTGCCAGGTCCGAGTCCCCAGGCAGAAGCTCCTGTAGACTTAGGGACCTCTAGGCCCTTTCTGTGTCTCAGAGACACTGCTGAGGTCAGCAGGGCGAGAAGGGAGATCGGCAGACAGAAGCCTCTGGGAGCCCAGGTAACTGGAAGCCACCCCAAGTCTTCAGGGACACTGGGTGGGACAAAGTAGTCCTGTGAACCCAGGGAAGGTATGACCTCACCTCCTTGGGCCCACCCAAGGAGGGACGCAGGGAGCTGTGCCCCTGCAGTTTGTAGCCAGTTATGGGTGAGGCTGGACATTTATTTAACTTTAGTAAAGTCAATGAGAACACATACTTTCTGTTGTCCTTGAGCCACCAGCTGGGGGTGGGGCAGGCAGGCAGAGGGACAAGGTGGATGGGGTCTGAGCAGGCACAGCTCCAGGTATACTCTCTCACAGGATCTTCCTTTTGGTAGTACTAGAGATTGAACTCAGGGCCTTTGCACTGAACTACATCCTCGGCCTTTTAAAATATTTTTATTTTGAAACAGGGTCTTGCCCAGTTACTAAGTGGCCCAGGCTAAGCTTGAACTTGTGATCCTCCTGCCTCAGCTACCCGGTGTGCTGGGGTCACAGGCATCCACCACAGCTGACTTTACCTGTTTTTCTGCCCTTCTGAGGCTGGGGCAAGGTGAGGAAGTCGGGATTCCACGGTCTCCTTGGGCATCCCCTGCACTTGTAGGAGATCCCTGCTGCATGGAACTGCTCTACAAGGGCTGCCACTCTTCCTGAACCTCGGAGGGGGATGAAGGAGCGTAGCTGGGAGTGCTGGCCAGGGGGTCCCAGACACATGCTGTTTACTATAAGGTCTCTAAGATTCAGCAATGACAGGAAGCAGCCCCAGGGTTCTGGGCCCCCTGACAACTCATTTCTGATGGGCCAGTTGGCTCAGACACATTGCTGTACCCATAAAATCACCAGGCAGAAAAAGGGAATTCTGGAAAATAGGAGGGCAAAAGACCTTCTCTTCCCTTGCCTGAGAATGTTCTGTCAATTCTCTGTGTTGGGGGTAGAAGTATACATGTGTGTCTTGGGGACCCCTTCCCTCATTCCCTAAAAATCTGTGTTTCATAATCAGCTGGGGAGGGAGAAAGGTCTCCCCCCTTCCTGTATGTTTTGAGACAAGGACTCATTGTATAGGTCAGGATTGTCTTGAACTCATGGTGAGCCTCCTGCCTTAGCCTCCCGAGTGCTGGAATCGGAGGTGTGCGTCACCATGTGCAGTGGAAGATCTTCCTTTACTTGTCCACCAAGGACAGTCTTGGGGATGTGGGGGCACATCTCCTTGGCCTTTAGTCTTGAATAGCTGAGGCCAGCACTGTTCCGGGGCTACAGGTCTATCCAGCCCCAGCAGGAGCACAGAGGGATGGAGTCTGGCTTGCCAACCAAGTGCTTGAACTTGGAGAAATAGGCACGGGAATGCCTTGTCCTTCTTGGCAGCCCCATCCGTGGAGCCAGGGGGTGCGGCACCCAGGGTCAGTGTGCAGGCATAGCAGCTGCACTCTTCGCTTTCTTCTTCCTTCTCTTCTTTTTGGGCCCAGGTGACACCTGGTCCCCGATGACTGCACCCAACTCTTTCTCCTGTTTCTGGACTGCTGCTCCACTGGATTGGGTGGTAGTCTCGGCCGGGTCAATGCTGGCCACCTTCTTGGCTTTCTTTTTCAGCTTCTTTTTCTTCTTCTTGGCCTCCTTCTCCCCCTGGACAGGGCTGTGGAGAGCTGACTCCTGGAGAATGTCGCTGGCTGACACAGCAGCCTCCCGGCACCGCTGCCACTCCTCAGTGCTGTCCTCGCTGCTTCAGGGGGAGGACAATAGTTGCGTTAGCAGGTGCGGGTGGGCTCTGGAACTGCCTTTCACTGCCCTCCTTAGGTCCAGGCCTGGGAGTGAGGCAGACCTGGGTTCCAACACAAGCTCCTCTGCTTAGCAACTCTGTAACCTCAGGAAGTGACTTCCTGTTCATCTATAAAACAGGGAGCTTACCAGGCCTCACAGGGATGTCCAAGGAAGCAAGTATGATGACGGAAGGAGTCTGGCCCAAGAGAGGTGCTTAGAAAGTAGTAAAGATCCAAAGCTACTCCCCAAGGGCCCTCCATACCTGTTGCTGGCTGCGCTACTTCTCTGCTGCCCAGGACTGACTGGAGTCTGCTTGGCTACCAGGGTGAGCACGTGAATAGAGGGGCGCAAAGGGGAGCACTGTGGGGTGGGCATGAGCTCTTACCTGGAGCTGGAGGGCTGTCGCTTTCGGCAGGGCCGGGGAGCAGCCTCCTCCTCAGGGCCTCTGGGGATGGATGTGAAGAAGAGGCGGAAGCCTAGGATTCACAGGGCCATAGTCAGCACCGCCAGTGTCAGCCCTCCTGTCCCAGGTGCAAGCTGCCACCTCTGCCCACAGGCACTCCTGGTCCAATGGCACAGGCCTGGGCATCCCTGTTGTGTGATGGCAAACACAGCCCAATCTGAGTTCAGGCCACCTTGATGCCTAAGGGAGCTGGAGGTGGGGTTCCTGAGATGTCAGCTGGTGCCCCAGTGCTTCTGGAAGCCAGCAGCTGAGCCTCCTTCCTAGGGCAGCCTCCAAAGAGGCCAGATTTGGATGTGTACGTGTGTATGTGTAGCGCAAGGTGGTCCAGCCCAGGACAGATAAAGCTCCACAGGCTGGTGACTGTGCCCCCAAGCCCCACTCCCCTTGTCTGTCACTGGGGCATCATCACCCTTCCTGCCTCCCAGTGTGCGCTGTGCCAAGGAAGGCTAGGTACCCAAACGGCATCACCTGGATATGCAGTAGGTGCTTCGTAAACATTAGCCGTTTCGCTACTTACCATTGTCCTGGGAGGCCACTTCCTGAATCTTAGCTTTTCTCGGCTCCTTTACTACTTCTGAGATGGTGATGCAGCTAAAGGGAAAGGAGGTGATGGATGGGATGTGAGACTCAAACTGCAGGGCAGCATCTGTTTAAACACTCTTTTATTTCAGAAAGTGCTGAAAGTTTTATTCATAGAGTACACAAAAGATAATAGCAGAGGGAGAGAGAGAGCTGGAAGTATAGCCAGAATGTCCTTCTTCAACACTTAGGAGACCTACACTTTGTTCTGGGCTTCCTACTAGTAAGTGTAGGGTAGGGGAAATCTGACCAGGATAGAGACATGTTTCAGAGGCTGTCAGCTTCTAAACAGGGCAGGGCCTGTCGTCTTCTTTTTCTTTCATATGTAAAGAATTTGAGATAATTGTAGATTGATATTTATTGTGAGAAATACCACAGAGATCCCAGTGCCACTCAAAATTATTGTATAATCTTACCAAAGAAATGGAATTTGATACAATCCACTGATCTCAAACTGGGTCCTGGGATCTGAATGCTGGCTTGGGCACTTACTAGCTGTGTCCTCTCTGGCAAATGACTTCACTTCTTGGTCTCTATTCTCCTCTGTGGGCTAGGAATGAGAACAGCCCCTACCATCCAGGGTTGTTATGGGATTAAATGAGAAAACGGATCACAAGCACCTAAGGCAGAGCGTGGCCATGGAGCAGGTAGCTATGAGGACAAGGAAAGTCATCAAGATAAGTAACGTGACAATCTCCCCCAGAGAGATAAGCCTGCACATTCTGTGGAATGCCACAAACCCAGCAGGCACCACATGCTTTTCCGCACTTCCTTCTACCCAGCTCCCAGCCGGTGCCAAAGCCCTGTGCAGGCCATGAACCAGGCAGAGTTGTGGAGGTGGTGCCATCAGACAGCAGTCTGAGCTGACACAGCAGCTTGAGGTTGACCCTTGGGGATACCTGGTAGTGTCTGGAGAGGGTTCTGGCTGTCACGCCTGGGGAAAGGGGTGCTGGAGCACACACCGACCAGGGACGCCGCTAACCATCCCATGATGTGCAGAGCAACGCTTGTGACAAAGAACCATCTGGTATAAAGTGTCACCAGAGTCAAGACACCTGATCTAATATAAGGGACCAACTAGAGGATCACTTAAGTCCCTTCAGTGAGAAACGTGAACTGCTGTGGGCGGCTGACCTCAAAGCCACTGGGGCCTTGGTCACCCTGAAAGTAAGCAGTCACAAGGAAGAACTGTGTCTCCTTGCTGAAATGTACCTGGCCCTTCACCATATCCTTGAACTGGGACTGGCATGATGTTGTGGGGGCAGACTGCAGAGCTCCGGCCTGACATCTGTCTCCCAAGAACAGTGGCCCATGCTTTCGGAAGGCTCACTTGTCCTTTCTGATACTTGCTCCAAAAGGAGGGACCAGGGTGTCAACTCCTCAATTCCCCTTTCAAAACCTGCTGGGGCTCTTCAGTATGTGAACTAGTGTTCTGTCAAGCAAAAGGACTACAGCCAAATGGGTCTGAGCTAAACAGTCACACAATTCTGCAGGAGTTTTTGGGTCTCGAGTATGCCATGAAGAATCTCAGTCTCTAAGGGCGCTAGACCGAAGTGTTTCTCAAACTTCACTGCTGTTGGATTCCTTTGTTTCTAGAATCACATCTTGGGTTAGTACTAAGGTCTAAATGTTTGTATCTCCCTAAAATTCTTTTTTTGGGGTACAGGGAATAGAACTCAGGACATTTGTGCTTGCCAGGCAGGTGCTGGTGCCTGTGAGCTATATCCCCCTAAACTTCTTATGTTGAACCCCTAACTTGTAAAGTGATGGTGCCAGGAGGTGGTGCATTTGGGGGTGATTAGGTCATGTAGGCAAAGACCTCAGGAATGGGATTTGTGCCTTGGTAATGGTGCTCAGGGGCAACCCCTGGCCCTTTCTGCACGTGAGGACACAGTGCAAAGGTGCCATCTGTGGACTAGGAAGAAGGCCTCACAAGACACTGAGTCTTCTGGACTCCTCAGTCTTCAGAATGAGAGACATTCAGGGGCTCGCAAGCCGGCTGCAGGTAGTATCTGGTTATGTGGCCCCAATGGGCCACAGCAGTAGCACTGCTGGCACTGGCTCTAGCAGGGCCAACTTGATCTTCAGAGAAGGGTCTGGGAAACACGGGCATAGTGTCTGGCACAGAGAAGACACTGGGACTCAGGACTTCCGTCTTCCCTTGCCTTTTTGCCATAGGAATGAGCTCCTGCTTCTCCACACTCCTTTTGTGTTCTCAGGTTAGCATGGTGCGAGACGGTTGCAAAGGAGCCCGACGCAGCTTGGGCTGGAGGTCTCGTTCTGCTCCTTACTCCCTGTGACTCCAAGCAAACACATCCCCTGGTGGAGCACCTGCGGCCCTGCCCAGAGAGCAAGGGCAGCGGCAGGACCTCTGTGTCCTGTTGCTTATGGATGCACAGAGGTGATGGAAGCCACCCGCTGCTCAGACAATCAGCTTGCACCCAGCATGCACCCCTGCTGCTGCTGTCCACAAGGGTGGGCAGGAAAGAGCCCTACAGCATCTTACCTGTCCAGCAGCGCACCCAGCTTCTTGGCTATGTGGGCTCGGAACTCGGGGGTGGTCTGCAGCTCGTTGCCATCTTGCTCGTGCTCATCCACCTTATGCCTACAACACACACACAGGATCTCACCCCCAGGCTGCTCAGAAGCTGCCCCCCGAGGGAGAGACTATGCTTGTCTCGCTGCCTCACATCGCGGGTCTAACCCGGCGTCAGGCACCCATGCAGCACCAATATTTGATGAAGATCTAAAACGTCTCCCATGTGTTTAGATCATGTGGATGCTACAGGTATTAGCAGATTCATCCAATGGTGAATTCATAGCTACACTGCTGTTAGGGGGTGGCCTGGGAGGAGGTGCACAGGTGGGGGAAGGCGACCTGGAAGGGTGCACTGTCCCCAGCTCCTCCCTCCTCGCTCTGCTTCCTGGCTCCCACAAGCAGAACTGCTGTCCGCTGCCATGACCCTGTGTCATGCATGCTGTTCTGCACTGAGCCAAGAACCACATGAAACGGGAACCAAATAAACCTTTCTTCCCTTAAGATGCAGTATCAGGTACTTTGTCCCAGCAACGCGAAAGCTGAACTGACACAAAGGGCAAATGCAACTGCTGTCTGAACTGCGCAGTACCTGAGGCTTGGCTGGGAGGCTGGCACTTGCTTCTCTGCAGCACCTGAGGGAAAATGAAAACGGAAGTACTTATATAAAGGCAATGACAATTTTAACATTGACAAAACCTACTGTGTGCCAGGCACTATTTTAGGTAGTTTACATGTGCAATGTAGGAGTCTTCCCTCCAAAATCCCCAGGAGAGAGGTGACCACTATAACATTTTATAGAAGAAAGTCAAGGAGATGTAAAAGACTTCAGCCAGTGTCTAAGAGCTAATTCCACAGGGTTGGGATGAGGACCCAGGATGGCTGGCTCAGCGCCCCCATTAACCACCACACCGAACTGGTAAGTCGAAGTCTAAGTGAGCACCTACTACGTGCCCAGTTGGGTGCTAAGTGCTGTTTTTTTTTTTCGAACAGGCAGATGGCTGCTTGTGCTGATGACATTTTTAAAGCCACAAAGCTGGGGATGTCTCACCTGGTGGTCATTTATTGAATTAAATACTAAATACTGAATGTTGGTTAACAGCCACATAGCCTAGTCGCTGAACTTAGACACACCTTCCTGTCTTCATAGGACTTATGTTCTAGTTGGTGGAAGTGGATGACAAACACATAAACAAAATATGAAATTGGATACTGGTGTGTATGGAAAGTAACGAAAACATAGCTGAGGAGAGAGTCAGGCAGGAAGGGCCCGGCAGACAGGGTAACAGCTGAACAGCAACTTGGTAGGTGAGGGAGGAGGCAAGTGGAAACCTGGGAGAGTCCTGCGGGCAGAGGGAAAACATCTGCAAAGGCCCTGAGATAGGAACCTGTCTGGAGTTTGAGATCCAGCATGGAGGCAGGTGTGGCAGAAGCCACAGGAGAACTTGTGGGGGACAGATCACCAAGGGCTCCCATGTAAGCCAATGGGAGGATGTGGGCTTTGAGGAGGACCAGAGGGTGGGAATCCTGTCCATAATATGCACTTGTCTATAGCAGGGAGTGAATATAGGAACAATTAAGACCATGCCTTGTATTACCTGAATATCCTCCTGTTTCTTCCACTTACACTATGGAAGACCCTGGCCAACTTATTTCACCTTCATGAGCATCAGCTGTTTTCACCTGTGAACCGGGAGCCCTAAGATCCTCTTTGTAGTATCGCCGGAAAGGTTAAACCAGACACCAAATACAAAGTGTGTAGAAGAAGGGCCCAGGGTCTCAGATTGTGGTGGTGGTATTATCAGAATCACCCAAGAATGTCCAAAGGTCCAGTATCTTGCCAGGCACACAGCTGTGCTCAATAAATAACAGCACTTCCTACGAGCGGCTCCCCCTGCGCTGATCAGCAGGGGACGTATGATGGACATCACAAAAACAATGAATCCTAAAGCTGGTACCCTGGATGCTGCTTCTCTGATATCTGTATCTTCAGATGCTGATTAAAACCTGTTTCAGTCTGAGAAATCAGGCATTTTACAGTTAAGGAAGTTGAGGTTCCCAGAAGTAATATTACTTGTCACACTGCACCCTCTTAGCTCTGTTATACAGGAATCCAGTGTGTCAAAGGGGAAGGAACTGGACTGGGACTCAGACCTTTCACTCATTTAAGAGATGTCCCTTGGGCAAGGTCATTCATTTAAGAATTATTCTCCTGAGCACTGGGCTAGGTCCTGAAAAAACACCATGGAGAAGGAATTGGGAAGAGGCCAGCCTTCATGAAGTTCACATCATACAACCCTGACATAAATGTTTGTGGCTCAAGTATCGTGATGCTGGGGATGCAGGGATGAAAGAATGAAAAAAAAAAAAAAAGAGAAAAAAAAAAGAATGAAAAAAAGATACGGAAAGGCACAAACTTCAGGAAGAAAGGCTAGTACTATCTACAAGGGGAGCCACACAAAATATGATGGGTATGCAGACAGGGTGAGGAATGCACACTAGAAGATTGAGCTTTCTAAAGAGGTGCTGTCTCAGCACATGGCACTGTGTCCAAGAGCAAGGCTTAGGAAGGAGTGGGAAAGCAGGCCACACAGAGACCAACCACATACGTGCTGCCATTTATTGGGCTTTACCACGTACCAAGCACCGAGGATGGTTCATCTGCATAATCTGTCAATCTTACGGGGTAGGTAGTATCATTATTCTCACTGTACAGATGAGGACACTTAGGTTCAGTGAATTGTAAACACTCTGCCCAAGTTCTTACTGCTGGGGAGTGGTGGAGATGGAGACAGAGAGGCGGATCTGCATATAGAAGCTGCAGAGAAAACTGCAGGGCTGGTGCTGAGACAGGAGGGCGGAGTATGACCTGGAGCCTACCTTCCAGAAGTGCTTTGCCATGGCCTCCATCAACTGGAGGAGCCTAGATTCCTTCTTAAAATGGTTTAAATATGCATAAAATGCAGTATGTAGGGCTACAAAACCCCCATAACACTGAAATTCAGTTACATAACAGTAGACTTATCATCTTAATATATGTGCTTCTTCCAGTAGTGAAGATCTTTATTAAACAAGATGTAGAAATGTATCTAAAAATTAATGCAATCATAAAGTATAGATGAATGTAAATGAGTTCCTAATATTTTATTGTGAATAAAATATTTTGATATAGCTGCTGCAAAACTGTAATAAGATGAAAATATCTGGTAACTTCTGTTGGAATAAAGCAACAGGCGCTGTCGAAACAACTGTGGCTTGCTGCTCACATGCGACACGATGGAGACATGCTACCTTTCAGTAGGGGGTTAATGCAAGTAAAGACGTAGCGCTTCTCCCATCCCAGATTCAAGGAACCGCTGGACACCAACCATGATTAGACACCCCTGTTGTTGAGGGGCTTCAGATTTCTTCCCAGGGCAGCAGGGAATTAAGGTCAGAGACACACTGCACACAGCTCATCGGCGACCTCGGGGAGGGAGGGGCAATGTGTTACGAGGCGGGGAAGCGACAATGGGTGGAAGCTGTCGCAGTTATTTCAGAGGGGTACTGGCCTTCCTCGCATGCGGCAGCATGGATGAAACCAAGGAAATAGAATAAAGAGACATCCACGTGCCTCTGGTTCTTTCTCAGGCGTAACCACTCTGCTGCATCTGCCCTCGCTTTGACTCATTCCCTTGCAGCTGCTGGAGCTCTCCAGGAGGAAGTCCAATCCTAGAAACCCTCTCCTCCCGTCCATCCTCAATTCCTGGGAAGAACCCATTCCTTTTGGGCAGCCTCCCGGAACACAACTCCCTACCGGCTCTTGGTTTTTCCGCTCTCCGCGGAGGCTGCTCCAAGCCCCAGGCCGGCAGAGCTGCCTCGCGGCACCGCGCCAGCTCCTCCGCATCGCTACTGCTACTGCTCTCTGAACCGCTCATGGTGCCACTGGGCGCGGCCATCTTGAGCTACCGCAAAGGATTGTGGAGAACACGAACTGACCCTGTCACGTGATCTCACCTGCTGGCGGAGTGAATTGTGGGGACTGTAGTTTTTAGACGAAGGCTTTGGCCTTGCGCTATCCTGGAGGGCAAAGGAAGGAGTTTCTTAATTAAATGTGAGCTCTTGAAGGAGCTAAAAAAAAAAGGTAACTTGGAGGTTTAGTGAGACCGTGACTTAAAATTTAAAATAAAAAGGGCTGGGATATAATTCCGTGTGAAGGGCCTAGGTTCAAACTCCAGAACAGAGGAGAAAATAAACTAAGTTCTTCAATGTTTTACTGATGAAGAAAATGGAACCTACAGAGTGAAGGAAATCTCCTAAAGTCACAGAAAGACAGACTCAGGATTAATTTAGATTTTGGTCGGTATAGTTTATTAGGCTCCAGCTGGGAGTCAGAAACACTGCAAGGGGCTTATTCAACTGTGCACTAACCCAGTTAATTAGATTGGTACCTAGAAATTTCTATTTTTTTCTAATAGTCTGGGACCTTCTTACTCAGAATATAGTCCATGGGTCAACTTGTTAGAAATTCAGGCTCTTGGGCCCCACTGCAAATCTAACAAACAAGAATTGGCTTTGAACATCTCTCCCTGTGATGTATATATAAAATGTGATTCGGATGCATCTTAGTCTGGTAAACGCTATGATATTTTCCTTTCTTTCTCCCCCCGCCCCCAATATTCATAGATTTATTTATTTATTTATTTATTTATTTTTAAATATTTATTTATTTTTATTTTATTACATTTATTTATTGTGTGTGTGTGTGTGTGTGTGTGGCCAGCTCAGCCCACCAGGGGGCTGGGCTGGCTGGCATGTGGTGCTGGGAGATCGAACCGCGGTCCCTGTGCTTTGCCAAGCTTGTTTCAAGTAGGTGCTTTAGACCACTGAGCCATCTCTCCAGCCCCATATTCATAGATTTAGGAAGCGCTGGGATTATAGTCATGTGCTGTGTGCCTGGCTAACACTCCAGTTTTCTAGCTCAGGACTTCTCTAACCTGTCTGCACAAAGAAACACTTAAGGAATATGTATCTATTTCATTAATTCCAGGACTGATAAATCAGAATCTCTGCAGCTGAGATAGTCCACAGTGAATGACAAACAAAATAACTTTTGTCTTTGGAATGCTTTACCTTTGAAGGTGAATGTGTCACCAACACCATTAAAACAAGCTATCAGGCCTTGAGCTTTTATATTTTAAAAAAGATGACTGCTATAATCTGCATGTTTGTCTCCCCCAAATTCCCATGTTGAAATCCTCATCCCAGAGGTGATGGTATTAGGAGGCAGAACCTTTGGAATGTTCTCCCCTCCCCCCCGGGGGAGGGTAAAGTTTTCATGACAGGGCTTATTGCCCTCCTGAAGAAGACCCCCTTTTCTTTTCATGTGAGGACACAAGGAGAAGCTGCTATCTGTAAGTCAGGAAAAGGCCCTCACCAGATACCAAATCTACCACCACCTAGTTCTTCCAGGCCTTCAAAACTGTGAACAATAATTTTTTTTTTTTTTTTTTTTTGCGGGGGTGGGGGCATGTGGTGCCAGGGATCGAGCCATGCTTCCTTGTGCCTGCCTAAGCTTGCCTAAGCAGGGCTTTAGACTGCTGAGCTATCTCGCCAGCCCAATATTTGTTATTTGTAAGCCTTGACTTTACAGTATTTGTTATAGGAGCCCAAATGAACTGGGACAGTGACTCAGTGAGTAAGTTGTAGTACTTTTCCTAGGAAGATTTTTTCCACTACCTACAATGTGGGCTTATCTAGACGTTATAATCAATACAAAGATGTGGGTGGGGCTAGCCTGTTTACTTCTTGGAAAAGAGACATTTTTTTTGGTCCCTGAAGGCAAAATGAGTCAGGAAGTATACAAATTACTATTGCTAAATTGGCCAGAGACTGCTAAGAATCAATTATGAGGTACATTTCATATGCTATGGTGAGTCTGTCAGAAAGCAGGGCAAAGTGGAAGGAGGGAAGAAAGCTTTTTAACAGGTTGGATGGCAAAAAGTCCACCACATGATAGCGTTGGATGATAAAAATGCTATTTTTTTTAGAAGTCTCTGCACTAGCATGTACTTGTGTGTGGGTTTCATGGGTGGAGGGGATTTCTTTCCCCCACCTAGCCTCATCCTCAGTTTCCCAGACTTTTGCCTCTTTTTGTCTCGGTTTTCCTATGGTCCTCAACCCCCAGAGTTGAGAGGCTCAAGTGACTAAGTAGTAGCCATTAGGAGAGAATTAGCATCTTGGGAAACAAATGGACACCACCCAAAAGATAGCAAACAAAGGCTCTTTATTCTCATCTTGTAAAGCACCAAACCAGTCTATAACAGAGACTCAGAGCCAGGCAGGGGATTAGGAAAGCTTCATAACAAAGATGGAAAAGGGGTAGGCTCTAGGCATGTCCTGGTCCAGCCTGTTGGTGGGAGGAGGCTGGAGGTGGGCCACCCAAAAAGAAGGGCTACTTCTGGGGTCACTGTGGGGGCTCATTCGCCTTCCCTGGGCTGGTCTTAAAATAGAAATGGGATTGAGTAGGGTGAGAAATTAGAGAAGCTGGAGGTTACTGACTGAGTTATGACTTTGTTTCAGGTTGGTGGGTTCTTGCAGGTGTTGTGAGCTAGAATTGTATTGTCACATAGGTCTCGGACATTGTCCATTTGTATATTGAGTCTATACTGGCAGAGCTGGGAGAACTGCTTATAAAGGTGGTGAAGATGTGGGACCTCTGGAGAGAACTGGAGGTGAGGCTGTTCTGATATTCCTTTTTCCTTCCTTCCTTCCTTCTTTCTTCCCTTTTCCCCTTTCTCCATCCCTTCCTCTCTTCTTTCTTTCTCTTTCTTTCTTTCTTTCTTTCTTTCTTTCTTTCTTTCTTTCTTTCTTTCTTTCTTTC